TTGAATCATGTCTAACTACTATTCACACCATTATTTGTTGTAAATCACTTGGAGAACGTGGAGCTCATGTTACGCTATCGAATTACATTACCCACAAGCTGCTCGCGTGCGTGCCTCGTGAAATATTTTTATCATATTATTATTATTTATTTTACCTAATGTAACCTTAACTAACCTAAAGAGATCCCTGTGTTTACATTTTAGTTACTTTTTATAATAATAAAGATAAAATAAACATGAAAAACCAGAAATAAAGTACTTACCTGAGTATTCTTTTTTTTTCTGTTGAATGTTGATGACACTTAACCCTACTTTTTTATACTAATGGTAGTAATGCACTAAATTTTTATTTAATTAAATAATGCATCAAAAAAACATAGAAAAAATAACATGCAAAAAGCTGACAATTTCCTCTGACAATCACAATTTTTCTGGCTTTTGAACTATGTGACAAAAGCCCGTACAAATTCATCCAAGCTAGTTTTTATCTTTCTAGTGAGAAAGAAGATTGTACTAAAAGAAAAATTGACAATTATCATTTTCAGAACACAACATAATATTACATCATTTAATGTAAGAAAACCTTGGCTTTCTAGTGGTTATACATAACATATTATTAATAGTAAAAGAGAACTGTTAACAAATCCTGAAAGAGAGGATGTGACAGGTGGGTGTGTTAAAAGGGGTCTGATTTTCTATGGCTCTGTAACCAAACAAGATTGAAGGCTATAAAATTATGGTTTGTCTGACCAATGACTATTTTATAGTGAGTAATTTACATTTAATTTTGTAGTTATTGGAGGGGTGGTGGATAAATTAGAGAAGAGGAGATACCAAAATGTGTCTCACTAGGGGAAATTCAGGAATTTTTTAAATATAGCCTTATAAAATGAAGAACTTAAAACTTATATACTGTTAAAATATGGATTATTAGCTAAGATGTTATGCTATACTAATTGGAATAACATAAACAAAAAGTAGTTTGATAAAATTTTGAATGTAAGACACTAAAACCTTTTGTCATGTGCGGTAAAAGACACCTATGGTGATAGGGCTAGCATAATTTCTAGAAATATTTTCTTGTTATTGCAGTGAAAATAGTAAGACTCTCGCTTGGAGAAAATATTTAATGCCTGGTACCTCTGTACTTTGTTATATAATACACTCCCTTTCAGAAAAACAATAACCTATCACATTTAGGAGAATTCATTTGAGTCTATAAAACAGAAATTGGTAGAAATATGACATAAGATTTATTTTGGATAGAAAGAATACTCTAAATATTTGGGTGTTACTTCTAAAACAGAATGGGTGTAGTAACTGAAAAGCAGAGAATTTTTTTTCTGCACATAGTCCATTATAGATGTTCTGCAGGTTCCATCTATCAGTTTATGTACATTGTACAAGTAGATATATAGGGATAAGTAAATACGAAAACCAGACCTCTTTTCATAATAAACGTCTGAATTAATTGCACCTAAAAGTGTTATTGTACTTTTTCGTACTTCAATTTTTTCATATGCTCCCCTTATATATTTGAGAAATATCATTTTTATTCTGGTTACTGGAATTTTTCTTTTTCAATCTACCTGCTTATTTATTGTTTTGATAGATTTATAATAGATAATCAGTTTGGGCCAGGAAATACCAACTTTTACCACAATTGTTGTGAGGAACTGGCAGAACCAACTTAGATGAAATTTGCTAGAGTAACTCAAGTGGACTTCTACAATGATCGAGTATGGATGAGCAATCATATGAATGGTTCATATTTGGCACCTATTTCAATTTCACTTCCTCAGTGCTGTGAATGAGGGAACAACTGTGCAGTAAGATTGGTAGCAAAATAGTTGAAGCTGACACCAAATGAAAGTGCCATTTAATACTGAGTATAGAACAGGTACCTTCACATCAGAAAAATGGTTTGTGTGCTGTCAAGATTGTGGAAAGGAAGCAGCCAATACCTCCATTTATAGCATTGTGTTTTAAGCCTGTCATTGTCAGGTAACTTGTTATTACCATACTATTTGTACAGTTATTTGGTTGGTTCTCACAATTGGCTACAGACAGTGAATAGTAGTACTATGACTCTGATGGGTTGAACAACCTAACTAGTCTCCTCTGTTGTATTTATGTTTTGTGTATTGGTCCTCCTGTACTTAGTAGGTACTGATGAAATAGGATATTGTCAGTGCTTTTTTGGGTGCTATTACTGCAGTCATCATTAGGGTTATGATTTTTGCTGTTTTCTGCAGCTGGTGTAACTTAATGTTTTTTTTTATGACTTTTGTCATAAATGTGTTTATTTATTTTATAAATTAGCATTTATTTAGTTTTGTAAAATTATAAGTTAAGATAATACCTATGAACAAAAGTAAGTTAAAATCGTTTTGTTATTTATTTAAGTATTCTTTTTAATATTCTTGAGTAACTTTCATATATTTGTAGTATCTTTGTGGTACATTTTATCTCTATTAACAAACTCTTTTTATAAATTATAACACTAGAAATTTAAAAATGTGGAAAAGAGTCTTTAAAAAAGATTTTTTTTTGTTTCAATGGCTTGACTTTAGAAGTTAAATATGATAAAGTTGTTAAATGAGGTATTTAAATTTTTGTGTTATTAGGTCAATTTTGAAATTATGAAATATACTGAAATTGTTGTATTTTGTAGAGTATTTTTTTTCTTCTTTTTCCTGAGGATTGACTTTAAGGTTTATGATTTATGGCAGAGTTGCAAGATTAAAGCATTTAAGTTTTTAATTGTTGAGTTGACTTAAACTACATGTAACACACAATGGTGGTTTGGCCTTGAACTACAACACAGTATATGTCAAATGAACCAATGAGACTAACTAAGGTATTTTAAAACTGCTAACTTACTGATGTAGTGGACAGTTAAATACAAAATGAACTTCGCACAATGTCGGTACATTTCACTTTTTCTGTTTCATTAGAAGCAATTCTCTTTCCACAGGTTATGTTCATTTTAATTTTATTGTGTTAAACAGGAAGATGTTTCAAAGAATAAATAATAAAAAAGACAAGTAACTATCTAAGAAAAAGAGTAGATGTCAAATATAAAATGAGAATATGTGAAGAAAAAAGTCACAAGCTACAGAAAATAATAGTAACATTTGCTTCCATGTGGTATAACTATGTTATTAACTCTTTCCATACAGGTCACAGTTGAAAGGCTATGTCATCTCGTTTGTTGACTCACATTCAAAATTTTATTGAGCTACTATTACGTGAATTTATATCAATAAGTTTGGTATCAAACTGTAGATTATAATTCAAATTTTAGAACTATACATTACTCAATTTGTTAGTATTAAAAAAACACAGATAAACATTGATTTTTGTGTGTCACGTGGTATATTGAATACAGCACTGGTTCAAATTAGACATTTGTGAAGTCAAAATACTAAGTCTATAGTTTTATATGAATTAGAAACTCAAATTACAAATATTGACAAGCTAGTATATAAGATAAGAAGATCTTATCTTTTCTATTTGCTAAGATATTGCTCACATAATAAATCAAACACAGTGGCACCCAGTCCACCTCTTTCCATTTTTCAAAACGCTCCCTTATATACACTTACTTTTATATATGACATGAATAACCAATCAGAAGTTCAGAATTTTCTCCCTAGTGGTTTTATAAGCCTTTTATAATGTACCTAGCATATTTCTTTCT